ATCCTTTTGAGGAGTGGTGGTTAGTTCCAACACGTCGTTAGAATAATCAAGAAACTTTAAAGCCCATTACTGCTTTTTTTATCAGAAAACCCGTTGAAAATCAGAAACAGCACTGATCTGGTGTTTTTTGTATTCTAATTTGAAACTCTTCAGCAATCTATAACCATGAGTCTATAAAATGTCGTATCGAGAATCCTTAGGTTATGAGCTGAGTATGTTAACCATTTAGTTATTGAGTTTATATTTTCTTGAAGCGTGAATTCTTTCATCTATCAGTTCATGATAGCTAACCTCCATCATTCAATCTCTTAAATTTAGATCCACCTTTACATTCGACTTCATGGGCTTGATAAGTCCAAACGAAAGTTGGATGATGTATTAACATGAGCTAAAGAACCATTGAAAGCTAGAAAAAAGAGTACCGCATAAGTGTTTCCTCCTAGTCCAGGAGTCTTCAGCTGTACGCGCTCATAACTTCAGGGTCTTTATGTTACTAGGAAAGCCCTTTATTATTACTAGCAGGACAAACTAGGATGAAACAGCTGTTTGGTTTCAGATGATTCTCCAACTGATATCAGTTCATATTCTAAAGTTTGTATAAGTAGTGTTCTGCATTCTATCCACCAGTGTCTTGAACTTAAGTCTAATTACATCAATGGCACGGTGGTAGAATGTTCGCCTACCACGTATCTGGTCCTGGATTCGATCCCCGGTCACTGGACGCATTTCTTTACCTCGCTAAACCAGTAATCAAACTGGTAAAGAGGGAAGGTTGGGCATTAGGTTGGCTAGCAAACCAACCCCGTAAAAATAAACACCACTCCTACTGAAACTTCAAGCCTCTAGATTGAAGCCGCTCTATGTTCCACTGGAAACGTAATAGAGTATAATGTAATATTAAATAATACATATTTTAATTCCTTGAACTATATTCATGTAGTAATTTTTTATATCGATTTCACCTATATTCTGATTTATTATTTTTTATCAATCCCTTTGATTCTGACTGAAGCATAAGGCTGCAGAAGCACAAGACCATTTCATCCTCTTCTCCACAGTCCCCTTTAGCTGGCTTTACGATTATCTACGATAAGACCTCATCTCTGTCTCACATGGTCTTTCCTATGCCACCTTCAGGCTAACTTGTCGTTTCCTATCAGGTTACCACTCGAAGGCTGGTCTGGAGTGTGACATCACTCAACGGTCTCGTCAGTGTATATCCAGTTCATATCCATTCACTTCATCGTATTTTGGCTGTTTGACCGTCTGCTAGAATTCCTATTTGCTAATCCTTCCTGATTAGCCATCTGATTTGTACTATGGAACCCGTGAACGCAGCTATTGATGAAAGTTTGTAGTAGTTTATTGGAAGTGCTTTTGGTAACCTGCCAAGTCTTTCAACCATATGAAAGCACTGACTGTCTTGACATCAGAGTTGACAATCCGAATCTCGTCCCATAGGTTAATTGAAGCAGATTACCATACTGCTTCCGAATTAATGAATGTCCATCTTGGCTTTCTGATCGTGGCGGGCTCTGACACTCTCACCCACTTCAACTGCCTGAAGGTGAAACAATGCTGCTCAAATAAGTGAAAGAGGTGACTTCCTTCAAATCTCTTCCGTTGATATTGATTGTTGCTTGTTGTTGTTGATGTTGTTGGCCATTCGATACTTTCATCCCATACTTCTTCTCTATGCTTAACTGAAGTCTCATCTTCATTACCATCCTCTTCTGGGATTTTTTTGGTCTTGCACCTCTAGATCTTCGAGTCTATGTTATACTAGACATCAGTCATCTACAAAGTCCAGATGTTCTAGAGTCTTCTGATCAGTTCATCGTATTAATGTCTTCTCATTTCCCACCTCCTGTGTGCCAGAATATCCACCCTAGCAGAATTAAACATGTCACGCGTGATAGTAGTCGGCCTTGTCCTACTTGAGTAGCCAATGTAAAGACATCAGTGAGTTTTCCACTGTGACTTTGTTCTCTGAGCTGGTTAGTTTATTCGCGAAGCTTTCCTTACCCTACTTAGGCAACATCTTCAGTGCATACTACTTCGATTTGTTGAAGTGCGAGTTTAGATTTCCTTACGAGTTCATTAGTCATCTCTCCCAGTGGGTGACCTTGAACGTGATTGGTTGTTTTTGTGTGCTTTCACATCCTATAAACTACTTGTATTGGAAAATTCGCAAATTTGATACAATCAGTTCCAAATCAAGTAGTCTAGAGAGTGTGAAAACACACAGAAACAACCGGTCACGTTCAAGGCTACCCACCAGGGAAAGATGACTAATAAACTCGTGGAGAAATCCAAAAGCTCACTTCAAAAAATTGAAGTCGTATGCTCTGAAGATGATGCCTAGCAGGTGGCAGTGAAAGCTTCGCAAATAAACCATCCAGTCAGTTTAGAGAACACAACCACACCAAAATCATTTATCTGAGCTACAAATCTTCTCCATCATATTTAAATCTTACAAGAGGATAAGCTGACATATGGCATTATCATGTAGCTGCTGATTTTCTACATCTCAGTGATCTACACGTGATATTATTGTAACTCTCCACGAGATTGTTTTCAGAAGACATCCAACGGTAGCCTCAACTCCCAACCCCCATCCAGCTCTAAATTTTCCCAAAATAACAATACAAACAGGAGGAGACCAAAGACTGGTACAGTATATCTGTCTTCCAATGATTTATCAGTTGACAGATAACCTCATACCGATTTATTCTACTGAGTCTTGTATCTCAATCTTTGTATGGTTGACGCCTTAAATCGTTATGAATCATCGCTTTATGCTATGCAAAGAGTAAATACTGATTGATGTATTTGATTATGTAGCCTAATAACTTGCTTCCCTTGCCTCTATTCGCTTGTTTGGTGGTATTTGCTATTGTTTTTGATAAATTATATATATATATATATATATATATATATAGGTCATTTTTTGTTTAAAAGCTGAGTAGGTAGCATTATTTATTTTAATTGACTTAAAGTGTTCATCTGAGATTTTAAATAGACTGATTGGTAGCACATTGAATCTGTCTTTGCGATAACGCCTTTTTCATCACATTCTATATTTATATGGCCGTAGTAATGATTGAAGAATTAGTGTTGTTCATAACATTATTGTTTTAAACACCATGGAATTAATAAGACCGATAGACTACAGTTCAACAGCATTTGTGAGCTGTGTTATGCATAAAAATATAATAATAAATGAAATATCAGAACAGGTTAAGAATTCCACAGCAGGTCACCATAGAGACATTAGCTGAACCTGTTTCTTTGGCATACAGAACACTGGTTGTCTTAGGGGAATTCCAATGTTATCTACTGTTTGGAGTGTTTGGTATTTGTAAGGGCCTTTAGCAATTTATTGGGTATTCGATAGGTATTAGAGAAAGATACTTCAATGTTGGTGTTATAGCCCGTTTGGACGAGGTTATCTAATGTAAAACTGTCGATGGTTTTAACTGTGTCTTTATTTAGCCAAACAAGTTACAGGTTTCCGTTCAATAACAACTTAGTTCCTTGAGCAATGGTTATTATATAATTGTCTACATAGGAGCAGTTGAATTCATAGATACAATACGAGGTGGCTATTCTAGGCACTCTGTGTTTCAGTTGAGGAATGACATTCGATTGTGTGGAAAATCCAACCTGCAACTTACCAAAATTTCAACTTGTTGTTAAGTCACCTTTGAATTGCAGTCGTATATATATGTATTTATAAATGGATAGATACACAATAATTCTTTTCTGCTGCTTTTGTCATGCGCTTCTTAATGAACTTTTCAGGGCAGTTGTTTTCAAATAACGCTTTGTACTAAACCTTATGTTCATCTTCAGTAGCAATTTCTGAACAAATATTTGTGAACCTACAGCTACGGGTGTTTACAAATTTTTCTTGAAGCCTTTACTATACAATGCGCTAAATTGCCTCACGACAGCTTTCATCTTCACTCAAGATTCCCTAAACACCGGGGAGTACTGAATAGGACTTTTGTTCTTGTTTGATTGATTGGTCAATGAGTTCGTCTCGTAGCTCAAATGTCCGATAGTCATTGGTACGTACAGATGAATAGGCTTTGACTTAGATGAATGGTTCATTTGTTGATCCTTATTTTTCAGGAACTCTCTCCCTGAAATCACTCCATTGTATAACCTAAAAGTTATGCCTGGTTACTTAATCGAAATGCCGATGAATTCCAACTTCTTCCGATTCGCGATAAAGCGCTACAACAAGCCAATGTCAATGGTGGCGAGTATCTGTTCTCACACCCACACCTTGGCTCCCAGTGGCTTAATAGTCTACGAGCTCGCCTTGTGACGGAAATGTCTTCAGTTCGGACGCCGATGAATGCGTAGTAATGAAGAATCCCAAGCTAGGACGAAACAGCTGGCTGTCCAGTATTCCCGGTTTTTCTAGTGGTTCTCTAACCAATGTCAATTAATGATGAAATCCTGAGACCAATCTAATCCCAGCAAACCAACATTTGAATACGAAATTGACGCTCACTAGTGACTGGCCATATTCACTTGGGTAGTTACCTGCCTTCTAGTGGGAAGTCATGACCAGTAGGGTACAGCAGGTTGGGTCAGAGGACAAATACTCGCAATCAATGACAGTGGCTAGTGCCAGTGGCGCTATTTCACGAAATGGTTGAAGTTGGAATTCATGAAATTGAGTCCCAATGGTTAAATTATCTCTGAGCTCGTCTTGTAACCAGTAAGTTCTCTTTTCCAACCCTAGTGGGTTTGTACTGATGAAAAGTTCAAAACTAGGTTAAAGAAACAGATTTCTCGCAGTACTCTCAGATTTTCAAAGGATTCTCTAGCCTACATCAGCTCATGATGAAATCCTACATTTAATCAAATACCTGCAAACCAACACTTTTAAGGTGCTAGTTTTTTATGCGCCTTTCCTCTTAATGAAACAAACTGAGAATTTCCATGTTATATTATTATTATTATTACTATTATTACCATTTCAGAAACTTTTGTCTATGGGATAAAAATATGATCTCCGCTTGGTTGTATAGAATCGGTCTTGGCTATACAGTATCAAATACTCGAAGATGGTTAAATACCGGTCAGGATTTAGTGACTGTATCAAAGAAATCATTAGCACAGGTAAGATTTTTTGAGGTAAACTGAAGTCTTTTTCAAAAGAATTGGATACTGAACAAAGAGTACTCTTTTCGATAACCTGATCTTCATCAGGCTCTACAGTTATATTTACATTATAATGCGTGAATGAATGAATTAGTGTTATGGACAACATACATGCTGTTTTAAATAACATCGAATCAATAATATTGATAGATTACAGCTCAATAGTATCAACATAAAATAAGCTGAATGTCAGAAAAACAAATTAGGAAAGATAATATTACAAATTCATGAATGTATAGTCTCTACTGAAGGCTGACCAGGGTAGTAGTAGTAGGGACTGGACTTTTTTTGAACACAGAGAACTGGTTGTTTGAGGTGAATTGCAATAGCCTCTGCTGTTTGGAGCACGTGGTGCTTCGATGATTTTGGCAGTTTATTAGTCACCCGGTAGATGATAGAAAAGGATTCTTCAATGCTGGCTGGCTTTGTGGCCGGCCGGTTTGCACTAGATGGTCCAATATTGAACTGTTGATGGTTTTAACTTCACTTTTACTTGGCCATTGTAGGAGGTGTTCTCGAGCACGAAAAATCTAATTCCTAGAGCAACGGCCAAAGGGTATTGAAGGGGTATTTCAAAATGCATAGGACTATATACTACTGATTGAGTGAATTGAGTAGTTGGATACCATTCACTCATATCAACTAGTAATACTTGCTAACCAGCCATATTGAAGTGATCTATACACTAGGGGACTGAAGTTTTGCTCGTTTGAGTTTGAGCTCATCAGAGGTGTATGTGGTTTAATTCACCTCAGAGATCCAAATCAGTTCACGTTCTGTCTAACTGCTTGGGCGAACTGGTCCCGCCGTAAATCAAAGCCACAACTTACAATATACATAGTTCACCCAAGTAGCTAACCAGAAATTGGGTAGTTTAAACCTATTTGGATCTCTGAACCGAGTCACATAGGTCACACCGCTGATGAACCCGATCCTAAACGAAAGAGACGGCCGTCTGGTGTATAAATTACTCCGACTTGGTTAGATAGCAAACACTAGTGATCGGGGTCAGTGGTATACAACTACTCATCTCATTCATTGAGTGGTATATAGTCTCATGTACATATGCCTACTTTCTTGATTACCAATTTCGGCACCAAGTTGATCATATACTGTGGATTGAATAAATATTGGTTTCCAGAGGAAACTTTGACAAAAATGTCACTCCTCAAATTGTTTAAATTGCCAATTGTGAGTTTAATTTAAAACCAGGGAGTACTGGACAGCTATTTTATCCCAGTAGTTTGGGAATCTTCGGCAGTACACATCCACCGCCAAGGTTCAAACCCATGAACTTCTAGTTACAAGACAAGCTCGTTTACGACCATTCAGCCACTGGGACCCGACTCCTCAATGGTCAGTCCATGAATTCTAACTTCTACCAATTCGTGGTGCATTTAGCGCGACTGGCATCAACCAATGTTATCGGTGGGACATCAGTTCTCACATACTTGATTGGATGGACCTCACTGGTCACGACTTCTCACTAGAACTCCAGGAAACCTTGTCCTGTAGTCAGTAGCCACTAACAAGCATTAGATTAATTTTCAATAGTTAATTTGTAAGGATTTGGTTTGTTTTTCGATTTTGACTTGGAGTTGATATCATGGGCTATTGAATTGGGTCCAAGTTGTCGAATGGTATGCCACCTTGCTGTGTAATTGGAAGGTCCTGAATTCTAGCCCTGGTGGTGGGTGCATACTGCAAATAATTCCCAAAAGACAAGGATGAAACAGATGTTCAGTACTCCATAGTTTTTTCCTTCATATATATACATGTACGGAATCGATTAGATATTGGAGTAAAAATCAATATAGGATAATGTACATTCAGAAATAATCATACGAGTGTTACTGATCAATTACAATCAGATGGTAAATAAGACGAGTGTTTTTATAGTCATAATAAGTAACGTGTTATAATGTTATGACGTACTTAAATTTATATAGAATTTTGAGATTATTTATTATCTTTCTCCGATTTCAATGACTGGTGGTAATAATATCTTCCATATTTCTGGTATTTGCATTTAGTCATTCCTGTTGCATGTGTTGGGTGTAGACTCAATGAACCAGACAGGATTCAGTAATCTATCTCTCTCTCCACTTACTCATATAACTTTTAAGAATCTTAACCCTTTCCCACCCTTTTGTGTGATTGTGTGTTAATGCATGGAGTGCAATGTAGTGCTGAGCTTTTTTCTAAATTATTTATCTTCTCGGGGTCAACTATTCTTACCTTAAGTAAATTCTTATGTTCTCACAGGCCATCTCCCTACTGGTCTACAAGTTTGACTTATATAGTTGACCTTACAGTCATTGCAGGGTATTTTGTAAATTATATTATTAGGTTTAATTGTGTCAATAGGGTCTTTCAGTCTACAGAGATTGTCTCTGAGTGATTTTTTAGGTTTGAATGCCACCCTAATTCCTGCTTTATTAAGAATCCAACATAGGGTCTCAGATGTTCCCTCTTTATATGGTATAACAGTAGATGACTTATATTCTCTTTCATTTATGTTACCATTACTAGTTTCATAATTACTTTTATACTGCTTTTGGACATTTTCGATCCAGTCAGTTATTTCGTCTTAGTATGAGATGAATATTATCTTACATCGCGGATTTTAACAAATTGATTTTCATGAACTGTAGGATCCTGAGTCATTGTCTGAATAGTAAAGTAGTGACTACCTAACATGAATATCTTATTCAAACTACCAAAGAAAGGAGAATTAAGTCAATGTAAAAACTGGCGTGGAATTATGCTTCTGTCCATTCCAGGCAAAATACTAAGTCGCATCATCCTGGAGAGAATCAAACAAGCCCTGGATCAAAAACTTCGTCCGGAACAGGCCGGATTCAGGAGAAACAAATCATGTATTGATCAAATCGCCACTCTACGGATCATCATTGAACAAAGCTTAGAATGGCAGTCACCTCTCTATCTCAACTTCATCGACTTTGAAAAGGCCTTCGACAGCGTCGATCGAGGGGTCATTTGGCAACTACTTCGCTACTACCAAGGGGTGCCGCCGACAATTATACATCTCATCCAACAGTTATACGACAATGCTGCATGCCAAGTAATCCACAACGGGAAACTCACGGAAGCCTTCGTAGTGAGGACGGGAGTGAGGCAAGGCTGTCTACTATCACCCATGATCTTCCTGATTGCAGTAGACTGAATAATGCGACAGACAACGGCCACCAACGGGGGAACGGGCATAAAATGGACTCACACAAAAGACTTGGAGGATCTAGACTTCGCCGATGATATATGTCTCATTTCCCACAAACTGGAAGATATGCAAGTGAAAAGTAACAAGTTGGCAGAAGAAGCATCAAAGATACGACTTCAAGTGAACATAGATAAAACAGAGGTGATGAAGATTCCTAGCCAACATCAACAACACCAACAGACAACAATCAGCATAAATGGGAGGAACCTGAAAGAAACTGCCTCCTTCACCTACCTGGGAAGCATCATCTCAACTACAGGCGGAACTGATGAGGATATCAAAGCAAGAATCGGAAAAGCAAGACAAGCTTCCATTACTCTGATAAAGTCTGTGTGGAGGTCAACAGCACTCAGCTTGAAAATGAAAATAAGATCCGGATTTTCAACTACAATGTAAAGTCAGTGCTACTTACTATACGGTTCAGAGACTTGCACTGCGCGTCATGAAGAGCACCTCAAACAAACTACAGACCTTCATTAACAGTTAGTTGTCTTCGCTCAATACCACTCAAGATCAGATGGCCAGCCAGAAAAGATCAGCAACAGGGATCTCTGGCAATGAGCGAACCAACCCACCAGGAACCGATTGTGAAACAAATAGGCAGGGAGAAATGGAGATGGATTGTCCATACTCTGTGGAAACCATCAAGGGAGTGACATTACTAGACAAGCCATTGCTCGAGTGGAACCCGAAAGGGAGGCGGCGAGTTGGTCGTCAGTTCAATGGTGACTTGGAGGAGGTCATGTGAAGAGGAAATGAAAACATGTGGGCAGGCTTGGGGCGGAGTGAAAAAGCTGGCAGAAAACCGAAGGCAATGGAGGTGCGCAGCTGAAGCCCTATGTTCCTCTAGGAACTAAAGGATACAATAATAATAATAACATGAATATCTTGGATTCCCGACTGATGCAATCTTAGACCTCCTCTAGTACAATGATAGATATTAAGCATATGCAAAAGGGAAGCTTTGACATGAAAGTAACAATTCCATCCTGTATAGGCAACACCTACACATTGAAAACGTTTGAACGCTTTGCTTGAGTTAAAACGTAAATGTATGAAAAAGAAATACTGTCATTTAGCTAAATTTCATTTTGTTCAGACTCTGTTTAAAACTTCGACTTGAATACATTTTCAGGCCGACCATATTCTTATCCTGACTGATTAACTTACAATTTCACAATTTCTGTTTCTTTACGTTGATCTTATACAATTTTGTTCAGTGGTAGGTATATGATTATAGCTAACTAATCCACCATTTTTTATACTCAATAAAGCCTGAGGCTTAATTGACAATTGACTAAAATTTTAAGGAAACTTTGGCTACTATCAACTTAAGAAGGAAGAATTGAAAATCTCTCCATGATATTTCTGTGTGTGAAATGTCTCCTTTTTTTTGCTCAAAAATTAACACTCTTAGTTAATTTCGCCTTTCTGGGGGGTAAAATATTTGGTTAATGATTTCTACTTGAGAATTCTTTCTCACAGATAGAAGTAAAATATGACAAAAATATTGAAGCTTGAGTATTTATCATGAGATAGGTAATTCAATGGAAGAACACTGGCCAACCATTGTCGGGCGTCGTTAGGTTCCAACTCCTAGCCAACTCACTTAAAAACCTCGCCTAATTTACTTATCCGATAATAATTCGTGCGTCGGTGGCATAGCGGTTAGGATGCTCGCCAATCATGCATATGGTCCGGAGTTCGATTCCCGGCC